GCCACGAAGATCAGGATTTCTGAGCCTGGAGCCGGTTCAAGAGATCGGCAAAATGAAGCTGGGCTGCCCCACATTGGGCTCGGTCTGGATTGCTGTCAGTAAGTAGCCAAAGAGTGAAAAGAGGAGTACTCTCGGAAGCACATTTGGGAAATTCTCCCGGAAAAGTTTCCACTATTACCACCCGTTTTTTGATTACGACCCCCCTCAAAATGGGGTTTAGGGTTCGGGGCAGCCTAACATAATGGAAACTGTTCATGAAACAAACTTTTGGGCAAAAATCCCGGCCGGAAAAGTTGCCACTATTGACACCCGTATTATAAAGGTGACCTTAACATTAGGGGGTGCTGTTAGTATACGGGAGAAACATCCCAAGTTACAAGCCATACTGTGGGGCTCAAGCAGCTGTATGGCGCAGGCATTGGAGCTAACTAAGCTCTCAAGATCAGGCGCCTGTATATCGTGCTCCTCGCCCCCTAAACCCTAAACCCTGAACCCTGAACCCTGAACCCTGAACCCTAAACCCTAAACCCAAGACCCTAAACCCTAAACCCTAGACAAAAAGCCGACCCAGTGAGATCTCACCCAGGGCTGTTAAACCTCCAAACGTCTGCAACACTGAGACCCCAATTGCACCTTCAGCCCCCAACCAGGGCTTAGGGTTTAGGGTTTAGGGTTTAGGGTTTAGGGTTTAGGGTTTAGGGTTTAGGGTTTAGGGTTTAGACCCCAATTGCACCCCAAAACCCTACACCCCTAAACCCCTACACCCTGAAGACCCCAACCCTGGAACCCCTGAGCCCTTCTTGCAACAGGCTCCAACCCTCAAAGCCCTAAACCCTGGGTTGTGCACACGGTTTTGTCTAGGGTTTAGGGTTTAGGGCTAGGGTTGTTTTAGGGTTTTAGGGTTTAGGGTTTTAGGGTTTTAGGGTTTCGGGTGCCTCCGCCCGAACAGTGACTGGAGAAACGATCTGGCAGATGTCGCCAACCACCATCTGAGGCGTCGCTGCGACCGAGAGACCCAAAACCCTAAACCCTAAACTCCTAAACCCTAAACCCAAGACCGGCCCTTTAGGGCTTTCAGGGCGTTTAGGGGTTTCGTTTAGGGTTCCCTAAACCCTAAACCCTGAACCCGAAGCCCTTTTGACCCCGCGAGCTCTGCCGGGTTTCCCTGAACCCTAAGCCCTAAACCCGAAACCCTAAACTTGAGAGGCAAGGGGCGTTGGGTTTCAGAGTTCGGGCTTGCAGGTCGAACGTTTGCGTTTCAGGGGGTCTCCTGGGTACTGCATTTATACGGTTTGTGGTTTGGGGTTTAGGGCTACTGAGACCCTAAACCCTTGTACTCCAAACTCAGAAGCCCAAAGCCCGAATCTAATCCCCCAACTGCACACCCTTAAACCCCTAAAAACCCTTAAGCCCTGAAAAGCGCATAAGCCCTTAAACCCTTAAGCCCCTAAACCCTAAAACCCTAAAACTCCAAAACCCTTATAAACCCTGAAACCCAGCAACCCCTTCAACGTCTTAGACCCTTAACTCCAAAACCCGTATAAACCCTGAAACCCAGCAACCCCTTCAACGTCTTAGACCCTTCAAACCGATGAAAAACCCCAATCCCTAAACCCTAAACCCTATACCCTAAACCCTGAGTCAGACCCGGGATGGAGAAGCCGTCCGCCCTCCAAGGTCTCAACCCCATAGCTAGAATGCCGGTTTAGGGTTTAGGGTTTAGGGTTTTGGGTTTAGGGTTTCGGGTTTAGGGTTTGGGGAACCAGAAGCCGCAAACCGCTAAACCCTAAACCCTTAAGCCCTAGACTTGCTATACAGTAGTATGTTTGCTTGATGTTCACCGTGTTTTTCTTTCACACACACAAACATAAGGCACAATTCCGAATTCCTAAGGTGACTTTATAGGGATTTCCCAAACTACGTTTATGCCCCAAATAGAAGAATCTCCTTAAAGGGAACCCCCAAGAAGGGCACCGCCGTTTTCGCAACCCAAAAAGAAGCAAGCAGGAAAAAGTAAAACCGAGCAAGCGGACTCTGAAAGCTTCCGGCAAGTTCTCATCCTTGCGAGCAGGGACTTTGCTGATTCGTGCGCCATGGGGCCGGCATGGTGGTGCTTTGCATCTCAGTTGCTGAGTTCACAAGCCCCCCAAAAAAGTGTACACTTTCAGTTCTACAGGGGGTTAATAGTATCCCAAAAAGTGTAAAAACCCTAAACCCTAAACCCTAAACCCTAAACCCTAAAGTGCACTCACTCAGCTACCAAGGTATGAAGTCCTTTAAACCGTGGACCCCGTGTTGCCCTGAGTCCTGCTTACCCTCTCATGCCGAATCCTAGGCCATCCCGAAGTCTCAACCACATAAAGTTAGGGTTTAGGGTTTAGGGTTAGGGTTTAGGGTTTAGGGTTTAGGGTTTAGGGTTTAGGGTTTAGGGTTTAGGGTTTAGGGTTTAGGGTTTAGGGTCAGCAAAGCCCTACTACTCCTAAACCCCGAAACCCCTAAACCCTTCAGGCCCCCTCAGCCCGAAACCTTCGGAAGGCGACTGGGGGTTTTCTTGTAAGCCTAGAGTTGGCGCAGTTTATGGTTTAGGGCTGAGAAGGATTTAGGGTTTAGGGGTTTAGGGTTCAGGGTTTAGGCTTAGTTGCTGAGTTCATGAGCCCCCAAAAAGTGCAAACTTTCAGTTCTATAGGGGATTCCCAAAAAGTGTAAAGTGTGCTCACTCAACTACTAAGTAGGGCAGAGGAGGGTTTAGGGTTTAGGGGTGTCGCAGTTGAACATGGCTCCATTGTGTTTCGGGTTAGGGGGGGAAAAAAGAGCTTTCTGTCCTCTCTCTTCGTGGTATACTTGGAGGTTCATGGTACTTATTAACCAATTAAAACTGTACTTATAACCCACTTGTAAGCCCCCTAAGTGCCCTAATACGGTTATAAGTGCAGTTCTAAGTACAGTTATAATTGGTTAACAAGTACCATGAACCTCCAAGTAGGGCTTACTTATTCGGCTGTAGGGCACAGGGAGCTTCATGCAGATGACCCATTCTCCTGCCAACATGCTCGAATTCTTTGCGGCTCATTGTGCTCCTCGACTCAACCCCCCCATACCGTCCTGTTCGGGCACTTGGACTAATCTCGCCCCTATGCTTTGCCACCGCACGCATGTGGATAAAACAGCTTCAAAACAAGCCCCTAAACCCTAAACCCTAAACCCTAACCCTAAACCGATCTTGCACGCTAAATACGACCTCCCCAAGCCCGTACTTTCTTCACTTGGCTTGACGCTGTCCTGCATGGCCCCAGCGCGCGGCACAAGGCGCGCAAGTCTGTCAAACTTCAACCAGCCCCAACCCCCCCAAACCCAAACAACCGTCCCTAAGCCATCCTTGCCAAGGCTCCCCCGAAGTACCCTTGAAAAAGGGATCCTTGCGGGGGGGGGGGGGGGTGCAGGGTAAATCTCTAAACATGCACATGAAGCCCTTTTCGAGCCCGGAACTAAACTGTACCCCCCCAAGTTTCCGGCAAGTCATCACACACCTCTGAAAACCTCTAGGTACGCTCCCCCTAAGGATGGCGCAAAGCCCGGGCCCTTTACCCTGAACTACTTGCCTGAGCCAAGAAGGGCCGGTGTTTTAGGGTTTAGGGTTTTGGGGTTTTAGGGGTTTAGGGTCTAGGAGTTTAGGATTTAGGAGTTTAGGATTTGGGATTCAGTTGCTTGGGCATTTGTGGCTTCAGAGCCCGCCTTAGTCTTGCAGAGCGCAGAGTTCCTTGAAAAATCCTTCATTTTCGCAATTAGACTACGAGATCCTAGTTTGTAAGCTCCACAAAGTATGGGGTAGGGTTTATGATTTCGGGTTTAGAGCAACCCATGTGTGGCTTAGGGTTTAGGGTTCAGTTTAGATTACCCTAAACCCTAAAGCCTAAACACTTAATGTCCAGCCATACTTTGGCCACCTTGGAATTTCCCTTCGTCCGTTTGCCTGACTACAGTGGCCACTGTGCTAAATGCCCCCCCCCCCCACACCTAAGGATATATGCCTTAAATCAGGATCTATGGATCCCTGCTGCAGATTAAGTCATAATTTTATACGACCCAAAACCCTAAACCCTAAACCCTAAGAGGGTCTGGGAAGCTATGTTGGTCTTGGAGGCATTGTTTGTCCTCTTAAACCCTAATCCTAAACCCTAAACCCGAAACCCTACACCGCAAGTATAACCTACTCGGGCTTAGGAGTTTAGGCTTGGGATGTTCCCTTACACTAACAGCTAAACCCTGAACCCTGAACCCTAAACCCCTAAACCCTAAAGCCTCAACCCTAAACCCCAAAAAAGCCCAAAAAGCCGTAGAATGTCAATACCAACTCATTGAAACGCGAGACAGGCAGCGGCACAGACGGATTTTCTATGTGCCTGTGCCCGAGTCGACCAAGATCTGGCTGACAGATGATAGACCAGTCGCCGACTCCTCTCCGAAGGTCCCAGTCACTCGAGCATGCCAGGAAGGAGTGCCTTCGTGCTTTACCAGTGGGTCTTCATCTCGGTTGTGCCATCGCCCCATACAAGAGCAGGTGTCCAGCAAAGTCGGCACAGAGAGCCCTGACATCATCTGCGTGGAGAATGAGATCCTGAAATGCGGTCCCCGCATAGCCTATGAGCTGGACGAACCACTCCGCATGCACCAGTCGGCGTACACTGCTCATCAGACATGCCACGAGTTATCCATCATGTCGAAACACTCCACCGCAGCACCAGCAAAACCAGCACCCACGAATTGTCGACATGACGCAGCGGATCTGCGCAGCCATCTCACTCTCTCCCCCCTATAAAAGCCGACTACCGGTGAGTCATCATAATTTCCATGAAGAGTTGCAGAAGTCACTGGTTGAGCCACTACCGGCGACTACATTCCTCTCAGTGAAACCAGCATCAACTACACGAAGTCTTTCGGTAGCTGAGGGAAAATTGCAACCGGTGAAACTTGCACAGAATGAGGGACACTGCAAAGGTCGATCAAAGACATGGATACAGAGGGCGCTCTCGGCCAACACCTAAGCAGCTCTGCGTGAAGTCCTCCTTGTGTACTGCTGACTGAAACACCTGGACCAACTGCTCTGCATATCGGAGGATTGGGCCGGGCACGCAGTCATGTGCTGGTATAAACTTGTCTTGGCACCCCTTTGCTTTCCAGCAACTGGGAGCGGCGCAGCAATCACCGGTATGCTTCTCAGGGAGGTCAATTATGGTCGCATCGGGGCTTGCCTCTCTGAGGAGATTTCGACGCTCTGCCGCCCAACTTGCATTGCGATGGTTGATGCTTCCCAGCAAGATTATGTCTGGCACCCATTTCACTTGTCTGATCAGGTTCGCCGGATGACTTGGCTTTACAGAGCCATCAACATCTTGCTCATTCGATATGAGCACCAATATGATGCCGGTGGCATTGTTCTGCACTATAACTGAATTTGCTCGAATATCGGGATTCGGGTACACGATGTCCCAATGGTGACTGCAGATCACCGTATGCACCAACTGTGCCATAAGAGAATTCCCCAAGGCCAGAATTTGTGTCCCGAGTGGGAGCTTTAGGATGTCGTAGCTCGCATTCCAAGGCTTAGTGTGGTTAAGCTCGCGAGAATAGCCCGTCCCTGCGCAAGACCAGCTGTCTCTCGCCGTGCCGCATCGTGTGTGACCAGACGAATCGATTGCTGCATCGATTTTCGACCACTGCGCCGCGCCATAGCGGTGTGGTCTCCAATGGGAGGTCGTGAGATTCTCCGCAAAGTTTGCACTTGGCTTCCATTTCAGTGCCGCAAGAAGAGCATCCAACTGCAGGGGCGGGCCTGGAGATGGGCGTTGGGACGAGCCTGCCTCACTCGCAGTAGGACTCAATGATGTTGGGGGCGTGGGCGTGGGCACCTGTGCCTGTATGGCATCAGCCGGAAGGACCCAGGAGCTTTTGACTTGCTCCACCGTCTGGTTGGACCACATCAGCAGCTGAGCAGGCATGCCATCTCTGGCAAAAGATATGATCCAGAACGCCAAGAAGCACATCGTGACACTGAGGATCAATGTCACTCTGCATCCCTGACCTGTGTCGCAAAGCATGATGGGCTTCAGCTGCTCATGGGCTTCAGCTGCTTCCGCTGCTTGATCAAGGCGCCTGTGCCCTTCACCTGATGCTTCCCTTTCTTGCCTTGTCTACTTGACGAGACCCAGGAGTAGCCAAGGAATGAAAAGGGTACCCTTTTGGTTTAAAAGGGCCTAGAAGGGAACCTAAACCCCCCCCAAAAAGGGAATAAGGGCCTACTCTGTATCCTGGTTGAAGTCCTGAAATGAATTGAAGGGTGTAAGTCTCCCTACTGCGCTGATGATGGCTTGAACGCAAATGGCCTGAGCCAGGCTACAGTGGTGCATGTCACAGCTCTGCATGGGCAAGGCTCCACCGCCCCTTAAACCCTAAACTTTGAAACCCTAACCCTCAACCATTTGTCCATGCCGTGGACAGACCCCTAAACCCTAAACCCTAAACCCTAAACCCTAAACCCTAAACCCTAAACCCTAAACCCTAAACCCTAAACCCTAAACCCTAAACCCTAAACCCTAAACCCTAAACCCTAAACCACCATCCCAGAAAAAAAACACGGCGACACTTGCAATGCCCAGTTCTGCGATGATGGAAGTTTTTTGAGTATCAGGCTAAACTCTACAGTAAGTCTGAATATATGTATGTAGCTGTATAGCTATATATGTAGATAAAGGGGAAAGGGGTGATGTGTCAGAACATGTCCACAGACAAAGGGCCTGGGCACTGTCGTGCTCGAGCTTTTCTGGGCTTAGGGTAGGAACCATTTTCAAGACTTTTTTTGATTTGCATGATGGTTGCCCTTCCAGATTGGCATATTCTAATTCATAGTTGGGATGCTATTAACAAATGTGAATTTCTTTTCCTTGTTGAGTTTAAGTCCCCTTAAACCCCCACTATGACAAAGTATCAATCATACGCTTGATTGCCGTCTACGGGGCCGTGCTCCAGAAACGATGTTCGCAACTCGCAAAGGCGGCCGTCAATTTAAAGCACACATCGAGCGAAGCTGTCGACCCGGCGTCGAAACAAGGAGCTGAACTTGTGTGTGACATGGTGGTTTCCGAAGTTGGGGGGGTACCTTATTCGGGCCTACTAGGGGTACCTTCTTCGGGTCCTTATTAAAATAAGGGAATCCTACTATTGGGGGTCTTTTTTAGGGATTCCGCTATTTTCGTAAACCCCCCACATTGAAGTTAGGTCGTAAGCCGTCCCTACTTCAAACCTTATTTGGGGGAGCTCTTTTTATCGGTCTGGGAAAGAACGGTGTTTTGGGTTCAGGGATTAGGGTTTAGGATCAGCCACTGAGTACTGCTGGCGTCTTGGCTGCTGACTGAAGCCATTGCTAGGTTCCACTTGATCAGCGCTAATTGCATGCTCAACCCTAAACCCTAAGCCCTCAACCCTAAACCCTAAAGCGCACTCACATGCTTTTGGTCAAGCAGAGGTGGTTGCAGTATGTTGCAGCCAAGTGAGACGCCAAAGTTCTCTAAGGCCCACAGAGCCCTGGAGATCGGCAGCCTTGAAGGGTTTAGGGTTTAGGGTTTCGGGTTTATTAGGGTTTAGGGTTTAGGGTTGCCTTGAGATGAAGAAACCTGCGCAGGTTCCTGAGCTTTGAGGCGTTGAGGGTTTACGGGGTTGAGACTTGGGGTTTAAGGTGTAGGGGTTTGGTATTTAGGGTTTAGGGTAGGGTTTAGTGGTTTAGTGGTTTAGGGGTTTAGGGGTTAGGGTTTAGGGTTTAGGGTTTAGGGCTTAGGGCTTAGGGCTGAGGGTTTAGGGCCGGCTTCGGGTTTAGAGTTTAGGGCTTAGGGTCTAGGGTTTAGGGCTTAGGGTTAAGGGTTAGGGCCGCAAAGGGAAGAAGCAAGCAATCAAGCTTGGGGAAAGCCAGTGGTAGATTGAGGTTGGAGATGGTGCTTTCCGAGTTTAGAAGGATATCCTCTTACTTGGGGGGGGGTGTATTTTAAGGAGTTAGGGGGTCCCCCATTCTTCGTAAACCCCCATATTCCAGCAACCAGCCCCCATCCCGGATGCAAAGTGATGACTTCTCAGGTGGTTTCCCCAATCGTAAAGAGCTCAGAAAGCGCCAAAAGAAAACACGCGCGCCAGCTCTGCAAAAGATAGGTGTCCTGCGCATCCCTCCTCCGTGTTCCACAGGGCCTGATGCCACAGGGCCATATCTTGGTCGAATGAACCAAGCTTGCGCGAGTTTAGGGTTTAGGGTGCTTAGGGTGCTTAGGGCTCAAGGTGTGGGGTTCTCATCTGGAAATGCCAGGCCTAGCCACCCGCCACGCTGACGGAATTGCCATTGAGGTCGGCGGTGGTGACAGTCGCCTGCCCATTATACCCACTCGGAGCTCCATGCGCATGCGCATTTACTCCCAGGCACGGTGGGGGGTACAGTTGAAAATCTACCGCACAACATCGGAAAAATGACGACTTGCGCTGTAAGTCATTCCACGTCGGAGCCAGAACTGCCGCTTGCGACCCCCGAAACCCGGCACGGGTTGCTTGCAGCAGGCATGAGATCATTCTACTTTAGCACTGCTGCAGCCAGGGGTCGCCACCGCATCATGTCTTGAACCCTCTCTCAAGAACAGGAGCCTACGGCCCACGCTTCAGCCTGAACTCCTGAGAAGCTGGTACGAACACCGGCCGGGCCATCGCAAAAAGAAAGGATGCCTCACGCACACTGAAATCTCAATGCTCCCTGTGCTACTGCTACATCCCTGCCTGGATCAAAGGTGGTGGAGCAACATCAGAAGCTGTGACGATGGTCGTCACCTTGGCATTCCCAGCGAAGTCGTGCATCGCTTGAAGCATACATCAGTAGCCCCCGACCCTTGAATTTCGGCTCCCTGCTTCACTACAAATGACTCTTGTCCAGCCTATTCTTCGGCTTACTTCCCCTGCCCCATTCGTAACCCCCCCCCCCCCCCCCCCCAGCGAGGGATCATAGGGGATTTGAGCAGTTAGCTGTCTTGCCAAGTGCTCATCCAACCATTCCAACCCCACTCAGACAGAGTGTATAGCTTGCTCGTGACAGGCGCGGACTGCTGGAATACTACGTTCGCTGATTTCGATGCTCGCTGCGCGCGATGTTTCGCCGCGCGGCCAGCATACATCCAGGCTGGTCAAGGCAGCGTGCAATGACCTTCCTCAAACAGGAGCGTGCTCGCGTGTTGCCTCGACCAACCCTAAACCCTAAACCCTAAACCCTAAACCCTAAACCCTAAACCCTAAACCCTAAACCCCACACCCCAAACCCCAAATCCTAAACCCCAATCCCCAAACCCTAAACCCTACGCCCCCTAGAATAACCCCCCAAAGCCTCCTAAGGCGCCCAGGGCTGGCACAGGCAGCCCGCGGGACTCGCGTGGGAGTGGCGGAGCCTCGAGCAGCGGAGCTGGGCACTGAAACCCCGGTCGGTTTAGGGTTTAGGGTTTAGGGCTTAGGGTTTAGGGTTTAGGATTTAGGGTTCAGGGTTCAGGGTTCAGGGTTTAGGGTTCAGGGTTTAGGGCTAGGGTTTGGGGCTCCTTTCCTTTTTTATTTGGGTGGGGGGGGGGGGAACTTAGCAGGTTTAGGGTTTAGGGTGTAGGGTGTAGGGTCTAGGGTTTAGGGCTGGGGGTTCAGGGCTTTTTGGGAGCTTTTGGGGGCTTGTTTGGGCTCTCCTCGCTCACGGCAGAGGCAGGGTTCGGGGGCTTTCTTTTTGGGGTCCAGGTGGTAGGAACCATAAGCAACTGATCGTGATCTTGGGGATATGGATGGCCCTTTCATCCATCTGAAAAATATTCTGCAAGTTAAGCCTCTTAAGCCTCTTAATTACACCCAATAAGGAATAACATCAAAAGTAGTTAGCCCGAAACCCTAGCCCTAAACCCTAAACCCAGAACCCAAAACCCAACACCCAAAACCCAAAACCCAAAACCAAGGCTTTTTCCCAGAGACCTGGGGCTTCACAACCCCCCCTCAGCCCAACTTCGAAAGCCTCAAGGGCCTTCGAGGGTTGCAAACTTGGAGGGCTTGTTTAGGGTTGAGTAGGGTTTAGGGTTTAGGGTTTCGGGTTTGGGGCTTAGGGTTTAGGGTTTGGGGTTTAGGGTGTGGGGTTTAGAGTTTGGGATTTAGGAGAATTTGGAAATCAGGCACCTTGTATCCTCCCCCGCCCTTCCCCCCCGCTCTTACCCCTCAAAAGGGTTAGGTTTTAGCAGTTGTTGTGCATTTCTTGGGCCCCCCCCCCCCCCCCACTTAAAGCAAAGGACTTGTTGATTGTAGCAAGGTGTAGGTATAAGATATCCTAGCAGGAAACAGCCCCTAAATGACAAATGAACCACGTGCTTGAGTAAATGCGCGCACTTAGCAAGCACAGCGCAAGGGGGGAAAACCGAGCTGGACTTTAAAAGCTCTCGTTTGCAGTTTTCACTTCCACCCAACATTTTTCAACCGCAAACCCCAGGCGCCTAAACCCTAAACTCTAAGCCCTAAACCCTAAACCCTTGACTCTAAACCCTAGTACCTAAACCTTGCAGCTGGAACAAGAAGCCTCTTGGCCCTCAAAGGCAAAGCGGTAGACGTCGTCGAAATGATCGACCTGGTTGCACCAAGGTCAGGAAGTCCAAAATCAGGTAGTTCCCCTAAACCTTAAAGCCTAAACCCCAAACCACAAACCCCAAACCCTAAACCCCAAACCCTTGGCACGGGCTGTCCTGGGAGCCCTTAATGTGGGCTGGGGAAGCTGCGAAGTGGGCGGTCATTCCGGCCCGGAGGTACCTGGCGCCCAGCGAAGGGGGTGCTCAGGTCAGATTAGGGTTCCAGCTACATAGGGGGTTGAGGGTTTAGGGTTAGGGGAAGGGTACATGAGAACGAAGACTAAGACACCATCTTCGAGGCCCTGGCCGCGAACGGCAGAACCCCTCCCTCTCCCTGTTTAGGGTTTAGGGTTTAGGGTTTAGGGTTTAGGGTTTAGGGTTTAGGGTTTAGGGTTTAGGGTTTAGGGTTTAGGGTTAGGGTTTAGGGCTTAGGGCTTAGGGTAGGGACTAAAGGCTTCTAAATTTTTCAGGGTTCTACAACCTCGAAATACGGAGCCCTAGATGTGCGGTGTTTCCAAAACAGGGGCTCCCCATGAAAACCCCCCATATAGTATAATCCTTGTATAGGAACCCCCAAAGAACCCTAAACCCTAAACCCTAAACCCTAAACCCTAAACCCCCAAAGAGGGTCCCCCCTATTTTCGGAAACCCCCATGTAGGCTGGGCTCCCGACTCTTTCATCTCAAGATAGTCGGCTTCGTTCTGCCTTGGCCTCGGTGGTTCAAAGGGTTTAGGGTTCAGGGTTTACGGCTAGATGGCCCTTAAAACCCTCTGCAAGAAGTCCTGAATACGATCCCCTTAAACCCCATAAGGGAAAATACAAAATGTCCCAAGGGGCCTACTTAGAGGGTTAAGGTAAGGCTCAAGAAACCTGTCTACAGGGGCCCGAGAACACTTGAGGCTTCATGGAGCAGGTGAGTGGCGCAAACCCCCCAACACCCAAAACCCAAAACCAAAAACCCCAAACCCAAAACCCGAAACCCTAAACCCTGAACCGAAACCCTAAACCCTCAACCCTCACCCTAGGGTTCGGAGTCCGGGGTAGTGTTTTCTCACCGCACAAAGCCCAAAAAGAGTCGAACCGTCGAGCAAAGCCTGGTGGTTTTCCTCTCCGCTGCGCTGAGGCGGAATAGATCGAGCTAGGAGAGCCATCTACTGAGGGTTTAGGGTTTAGGGTTTAGGGTTTAGGGTTTAGGGTTTAGGGTTTAGGGGTACTGATTCTACGATGTCCGGAGGACAAACACGTACTGAGAAGTAGAAGTACCAATACTAGTAATGATCATAATCATAATAATCATAGTAAGAATAATAATCCTAATAACCATGTAATAGTAGCAATTTCATGAATAACAAGAAAAACAACAACAGAAAACAATACTACTAGCAGGTAATATCCCTGTAAGCCCTAACTGCGATGCGCTTCGCATCAATCGGGGCCAAGGTCTGGGACTGCCATGGGGCTACAAGGACCACGATCCTTCGAGTGCGGTGCGTCAGACTTTGAAGCGGCACTTTGCTGTTAAACATAAGCAGTGTGGCACCCTAAACCCTAAACCCTAAACCCTAAACCCTAACCCCTAAACCCTAAACCCTAAACCCTAAACCCGAAACCCTAAACCCTAAACCCTAAACCTCACAGGCTCTAGGCCTCCTAGGGGTGGAATGGGATGCTTGCAATCGTCGAGGATTGAAGGTCCAAGACTTGCCCCTGAGCTTCTACCACGTTCCTCGGCCTTCCGAGTTCCTGTACAGAGGGTAAGAGTCCCCCGAATCAGGGTTTAGGGTTTAGGGTTTAGGGTTTAGGGTTTAGGGTGTAGAGTTTAGGGTTTAGGGTTTAGGGTTTAGGGTTTAGGGTTTAGGGCCATCAAGGCAGCCTTTGTGCCTCTACGAGGAGCCAGCCGTCGCTCAGAGGCACCTGAGCCGGCGCACGACGGCAAGGAGAGAAACCCCAAGGCACAGAACGCCAAACCCTGTGGGGGGTTTTGTCGGCCCGACGCAGGATTTGTGGTTGACCTAAACATTCTAGGTTGGCCCTGTAAAGTCTGGAAAGTATTCATAGAAATCATCCGATGCAACCCAATGAATGAAAATATAACATGTCCCAAAGCCCTTTGGAGCTCTAATCAAACGTTGCCCAACAGAAAGACCCCTAAACCCTAAACGCCCAATCCCAAAATCAGCCGGCTTGGAAGGGCAGGCCCGGACATGAAACCCTAAACCCTAAACCCTAAGCCCTAAATCGGTGCAGCACGGGGACGTCCCGGAAAGAGCCAAAGTTACCCGAGAAGGCCTGCCGCACCTCTTCAGGCGTACGCGGAGCTCGAAGTTTCAGGGCCGAAACAGGCTCGGGTTTAGGGTTTAGGGTTTGGGGTTTCGGGTTTGGGGTTTGGGGTTTAGGGTTTAGGGTTAGTTGCTGAGTTCATCAGCCCCCCGAAAGTGCACACTTTCAATTCTATAGGGGGTTATAGTATCCCAAGTGTACTCACTCAGCTACTAAGGGGTTTCGGGTTTAGGGTAACACGTAGCTCTGCAGGCAGGCCAGAACGGTGCGGGGCCTGGACACCTTCCTACTGAAAGCCTCGACCCTCCATTCCCCAACCCTCAAAACCCCTACGTCCGGAACCTTCACACCTTAAACCTCCCCTGACGGAAGAGTCATGACGCAAAACCCTAAGCCTGCGCCCCTCATCCCCCGCCCTCCCCACCCCCCCCGGCCGCGATGCCGTCGCCCAGCTCCCCTAGCCAGGGAAGGTTTGTGAGCTTCTTGCGATTGATATAAGGGTTTAGCGTGAATAAGGGCTTTGGTCTCAGGAATGTGTGTGTGTGTGTGCCCCGCCTTACACCATGGGTGCAGGGGGTCACGCCCATTGCTTGTTTGCAACATGGCAACTCAACTTGAAGACGCACTCAAGATATTTACGTTTTGAGAGCAGAGGGACGAAAAGGACAGTGATGGATGATTCCAACGAAGGCTCCATGCTGGTACACATGTCTGCAGAGATTGGCAGGGTGCTGCAGCTAACAATCTCAGAGAGAGAGAGAGAGAGAGAAATAAAAAAGCTCGAAGCCCCTCCCCTATCAACTCACTGCGGTATCTTCCTGATGGTTCAGGGTGCCAAAAAAAGGCCGGTAAGACAGGTCACCCATGTCTCAACCTCCAAACTCCACAAAACCTTAACCCAAACCCCGGACCCCCCCCCCCCAAACAAACAACTAAACCAACCCTGAGCTCTACAGGCCTTCCAAAGCTCCTAAACCCTAAACCTAAACCCTAAACCCTAAACCCTAAACCCTAAACCCTAAACCCTAAACCCTAAACCCTAAACCCTAAACCCTAAACCCTAAACCCTAACCCTAAACCCTAAACCCCAAAAGCCCACCTCGCAGGCCGGTGAGTGCCAGGAGTGAACCAGGCGCGGCAGCAGCTGCCAGAGCCGGGGCCAAGGCCACCAGGGGCCTGGCGGTTGAGGGTTTGGGGTTTAGGGTTTAGGGCTAGGGTTTAGGGTTTAGGGTTTGTGCTTTAGGGTTTAGGCTTTAGGGGTTTAGGGTTTAGGGTTAAGGTTTAGGGTCCGGGTTTGGGGTTGAGATTTTGGGGTTTGGCGGTTGAGGCTTAACTGCCGAAAGCGATCATCATCGAAAGTCGCAATACTCATTCTGTGAAAATGCAAGAACTTAATGATATAATACAAGACTACATAGCATGTTAATTTAAGAGTATAACTATATAAAACATGTTAAGATAATAGTAGAACACGAAAAGAAAATAACATAAAGGAAACTACATGATTCCTAACAAGAAATATAAATAGTACACTAGAATAATACGCGTATAAACCATGACACGACTATACCATCATACCGTAAATACTATAATCCCACGATACTGGCACATTATAAATATCCTTGTAATATAGCCTGATGATACTGAACTTTTCCAATATTGAATATTCTATTACTATATTAAAACAGAATTGTGCAACAGTGTCTAACATACATGAGATTGCAAAATCACAAAACGACGATGTAAGCATACAACATTACAACAATTAGAGGACAGGACTAGTATAGTCAGATAGGACTATAGTAAACATACAGAATGTTTGTAGTTTAGATATATTATGTAGAAACAGAGTACTAGTGATTTATTCATACTTGGGGTGAAGAGGATGGTGCCGAAAGGGGGGTTTTGTTGCCGAAACAAATCAGCCAGAAAGGAAAAATTCGGGCGGGGGGGGGGGGGGGGGGGGGGGGGGGGGGGGGCTTTGAACAGCGCCGGACCGCCTCGTAGACCCCTACCTAGACCCCAACACAGGACGTGAACGTTGACTTCAAGCTCTCTTCATTAATAAAAGAAAGAAAGCGAAAATTGCAGCCCGTCCAGCGCCGAACAGCAAGCCTACAAGCAAAGGACCTAAGCAAGATTTGACCACCACCTTCCAACATACTACCATCTATATACTCGGAAAAGACCGCGAGACATAGCCATGCCTGCGCAGGATGTTTGCGACGATGACTTCAAAGGTGCCAAACTCTCGGACGAGGGACTGCGCGAAGGCCTCCGAGTGGAGTAGTTCCACAGTTGCCTAGCCCAACAAAGGTTAACCCTTCAACTCTGGTAACATTGTATATATATATATATAGTATATATATATAGTATATATATATATATACCCCAGAAGGGTTCTAGGTTATCTACTCAGCTTCTGAGGTTCGGAGCCCCTCCTCCCTTCGCTTCTCCACCCTGAAACCCTCCAACCTTCCCTTAGTTGTCCAGTAACCTGGGGGGAATTAAAGGTTAACCTTTGGGATTCTAAGGGGATTATATACTACCCCAAAAAGGTTAAAGGTTACCTACTCTACTACTAGGCTTCTCAACAGCGCACTCGACCCCATCGCGCTGCATGGTTCGCCTCGGGCCTATGCAAGGAACCAAGCAGCACTTCGGGTTTCTGTGCATCCACCGCGTCAGCCTAACTCTCCAGCGTCACCCCAAGTGCCCATTTTAAACCCTAAACCCTAAACCCTAAACCCTAAACCCTAAACCCTAAACACATAACCCAAGGGTGGCAGCTCGACGGCTCGAAACACCTCGGGCTTGGGGCTTAGGGAGGGCAAGCTGCTGGGTGCCCTGGCCCAAAAAAAGTTCACCTTGCAATTCTGGTAGGATTGCATAAAATCCAGAAGTTTTAGGTCATCTACTGAGCTACTAAGGATTGGTGCGATCGTGCCTTTGAGCTCTCTACAAACAATTGGGTATTAACTTCAAGGCAAACCCATTGAGAACAACTTCAGGATGTGCTCGCGGCAACCTCCGCGTCATCGAAGCTTTCCGGGCTCACTCCTCGCAAGGCGTGCAGCTTTCGACGCTCGTCCCACCCTAAACCCTAAACCCTAAACCCTAAACCCTAAACCCTAAACCCTAAACCCTAAACCCTAAACCCTAAACCCTAAACCCTAAACCCGAACCCCGAAACCCTAAACCCTAAACCCTAAACCCAAGTAAGGAGGCAATGCCCGATGATCACCTCTCGGAGGCTGAGCCCGTAAGAGACGATAAGTCTGTACACAAGGACTCGCAACACATGGAAAGGTTAAGAACTTATAAGGTTTAGGGTTTAGGGTTTAGGGTTTAGGGTTTAGGGTTTAGGGTTTATAAGAACTTATAAGGAGCCTGAATCATGGTCTCGGGTCTGCAGGAGCCGCACCTCTTGT